CCTTTCCCTTTCCCTTTCCCTTTCCCTTTCCCTTCCCTTTCCCTTCCTTCCTTCCTTCCTTCCTTCCCCCTCTCTCCCTCCCTCCCTCCCTTCTTTTTCCAGTATTTTAATCATTGTGAGATTTGCTTTGTTTATCTTCTTTTTTCCTTTTTTCAACATACACAAACAACATTAAGTAACAATACAGTGGAGACTTTAGTATTAACTAATCAGTTTAAGGCTGAAACCTTTATTGTATAACAAATATTTTGACTCAATCTGCAGCAGTTATTTAATGTTATATTCAATTCTGGATGAAAAAGCCAAATAGTCTCTTGCTCATCAACATTGACATTTTAAATCATAATTAATATTGATAACATATTCTTTCTTGTTTTGTATCCTCAATGGTCTAAGTTATTCAAACATTAGAGTTTAAGAATCTTTCATCAACACTGTGTAAATACCACTGTATCGAAACAATGTGATGTGTTATGTAAGTTTTACAACAATATAATAAAAATGTTACTATTTTTTTAAAAAAAGACTGCCTTTACTAAGGCACACTTAATGTTTTCCCATAGCTGCATTTCAGGGTCATTTGCTGAATTGTGTTCACACATTCAACTAAGCCATGATTTCTTTAACCATGATTTGTGGAATAAACCACTGTTGATTGGGCTCACATATCATACTAACCCATAAACCATGATTTACAAACCACAAGAGCAAGATTCTCACCCGATGCCACAGCAAAGATCATTCAAATTAGGTCATAACATACAAGAAACCTGCCTTGAAAGATGTGCATCGTGATGTCGTCTTGCCAATGATGCAGATTATTTCATTTTAACCACTTGCACAATGGTGTGGCATTCATGATGTTATCTGCCTCCTTTTGCCTCCCCACAGACATCCACACTGGAAAAGAACAAATTTCCCAGCAGGAAGACTTAGGTCTGGGAACAATGCTTAGGCTGAAAATTGGTAGATTTTTTTGTTTTTTTAATCCATTGGTATAAGTACGTGCCAAGAAAATGATGGAGAACCCATGTTCTTTGTTTCCGAAAGCACTGACTGAAAACTACAGCTTTAAACTGTCACCGAGCCCGTTGAGGAAAATGTGTTTCTCACATTTTCTCCCCCAGCCCCGGTGCTCCGTGCAAAAGCAGACAGAATATGGATGAAAAGACACATCTGTGCATGATGAATGCTTGGTTTGGCTTCTCTTCTTGACTGTCTGTCTCTCTTTTTTAAGTTTGGGACCTCAAAAATTGTTGACATCTTGACGTCTCCAGCAGGTGCCTGGGCCTCTTGCTTGCTGCCTTGTTTCCAAAGCCATCGGGGCAGCCAAGGGAAGCCCATTTCTACAAAAGCGCTCTTCCTGTACAAACACAGTTTAACACACACACACACACACACACACACACACAAAACTGCAGAGATTTGGCAAAGTTTTCTCAAACATGGTTTGCAGGCCAATGAGAGACCCTCTGTCCTACCTTTTCCCACCTTACTCTAACAATGGCAGAAACCCCAACTCCCAGTGTTTGCTAGTCTGTTCTCTCCAGGAGCTGGCATCACAGAGGGAGAAGGAAAGGCAGTGCCAGATTTGAGCAGCCTCCATGGAACTAAGAGAATGCCCAGAAAGCTTGACTGGAAGAGATTTTAATTGGATTTTGCCACAATTCTCTTTTGGCCATCCCTTGAGATACGGTAACATGGTGAGAATGAATGAATTAGGAGAGGTCCTATTTCACTTCATTTTTATGGGGGTTTTTTTGAAGTACAAAAATTATCTACAGAAAGAAAAGGTAGAAAAAGGATAACAGATAGATGGAAACAAGGATGAATGTTGGACTCTACCCTACCGTCTAGGAAAATGTGTAGTCGTCTGGAAATCCTGCCTGTGTTGTTCCAAAAATGTATAAATAATGACAATTTCTCTATAAACTGATCATGCTCTGAGTTCTGTGGGTCTCTAACAAAATGAGTTAATTCTGCAAGTGTTATACAAGCAAAATATGGCCATTCCAAATGGGACAGCCACCGGAGGAAAAGTTGAAGTAGCTGCTGAAGATTTCAGTCTAAATTTGGGTTGAAGGCATTTGAGCTGGGTTAGGAGTCCTGACATCCAATTAGGGAAGTTTCTCCTGCTGCTTGATGCTGTAGGGCAGGATTTCCAGACCACTACACATTTTCCTAGACGGTAGGCAATAATTCCTTCGAGCCGTGGGGTGTTCTTCCAAAAATAAATGAGGCTAGGGCAAGGGAGTACGTTGGGTAAGAATGAAAACTCCATTGGATTAATATATTTCATTCATTAGTTAACTAAGCTCCTGTGATTGCTCAAAATGATATCTGATTTACTGAAAAGATAGGGACTTCCTCCAACTGAACTTGGGGAAAAAAATCAGCAAGGTTTGTTAGTCCTTGGATGAGAGAGCCAGTGGTTAGGCCAAGAAGTTGGGGAAAAACTTGCATATAGTTACCAAGAATTATATGAACAGGTCCATGAAGTTTCAAGGATTTGGACACAACTTGAAGGAAGATTTATCTTTAATGGTACACTAAAAATTATAATTTGGGGGCAACCTTGGGGAGGGATCTCATGGCGCTTTGAAGCTTTTAGGGAATGGTGGGGTCTCGTGGTTGTGCATCTGTGCTAGAAACAGCTTGGAAACGATCCACATCTGGTTAATTTTGAGAATTGCATGTCTGCCCTCAGACCAAGCAAGCTTGCCTAGGGTATCTGGGTTCTGATTTGGTGGGTGGAGGGCAATGGCTGCTGCCAAAAAATCTTTGTTTTGCTTCCATGGATGGGCAGTGCTGATGCATTTTCCTCTTAGATTCAATGCTATTTTAAAGCCACAGGTTGAAAAGGTCACAGCGTGGTGTTTTCTTCCTTTCTGGTAGTGAGGATTCGGGCAGTTGTTATGCAGATGTATAACAGCTGGGCAGACTTTTCTGTATAACTTTCCAGATGTTCTTCAGGGAGCTGCATTCCAAATGGGAACGAGGCTGGGTGGGGTGTTTGCAAAGAGATCTTTTCTCCAACCTGGGAAGAAATGGAGACATTGTGGTCAAGTTAAAGAAAGGGGTTGGGGGTAGAACAACCCTGACCAGATAAGAGGGGGGTGGAGCCAGCACAAGAAACTAAGTTTGGCTTGATTGAATTAATGCATATTTAATTAATTAAATGTAATTAAGGTGGTTGCTCTCC